AAAAAAAAAAAAAAGAAAAAGAAAAAAAGAGCCGAAACCCGTGTCATTCTGACAGGTTTGCCAGCCCCGATGTATAAAACAATCCAAAAGAGAAGCAATTACGTATTCCAACAGCCATCTCGACGCCTACCGTCGATAATCGAGGCTAAAAACGGAACACCGTCGGACTTGGACTTCGCTCGATCAAATCTCGCCACCGAAAAAAAGAAAGGGAAAAAAGAGAGAAAACACGTGGAGGGAGGAGAGAGAGGAGGAGGAAGAGGAGGAGGAGGAGGAAAGAAGCCTTCGTCGTTTATCTCTCTGGCCTTTTTACGACTATCGTGGCAGAGGCAGTTTCCTTCCTGCCTGTTTTCGAGAGTTCCCGAGCCGCTCTCGTTAAATTTGCACCAGGCGACGCCGATATTCGCGCCCGTATATTTTTTCTTCGCCTACCAACCCCGATTATATTTATTCCTCCGTGTGTCGTTCGAACGGAAACGCTCGGAACGATAAACTGCGCGAGCCAAGCTCTCCTCTCCTCCCACCGTTGCAACTCGAATATCGCCTCTCTATCAGATACCCGACCGTCCTCCTCCTTTTCTCTGTCGCGATAACGCGTACCAGCTTCAGATTACGAGGCACGGGGCCCAAGCCGTAGCCCGGCGAAACCGGCGTGTGCAGGCGTTAATTATCGGCTGCGTGGCGTTAGGTCGTTTTCTCGAATGGGAAACGGCTCGCCGTTGCGGATGTAACTGTTTGCTACCGAGATGAAACGAGACACATGTGATGTGGAAATACGTAGGGATAAATTTCTTCTCATATTTTGATGTAAATAATCAAGTTTAAAATCTTTTCTATCTTTTCTCTTTGCGGATCTTTTTCACATTACTTTTAATATCCGATTGGGAGAGGATTTTTAATAAAAAGTTCCTGTAAATTAAATTGAGCAAAGTGAATGCACGACTGATATTACTTCCCACAGAATAGTTCTCTACGTATGCTATAAATAAAATACTATCTATATGTACATGTTGCATTTAAGTGAGAATGATAGGATAAGTGAAAAGGGATGGAATTTATAAAATGCCTTCAATTGATTATTCACCGTTTCCTGCAAGAAAATAATTACTTATGTTAGAAATTAAATTACTTATGTTAAAAATCTTATTTTAAAGAATAATGTAAGATTGTAAAGCCTTCAACATTTCTTAACGTATTTAAATAACTTATACATAAAAATTGTACAATTCTCTTTTAAAAAAAACATACTACACTTCCTTACAAGATATTCCAATATTCCCAATTAAACGTAATACTAAAAAACTTATATTAAAACTACATACTTTCAAGAATTTTCCCCGATTCGTCAATGGATTCAATTAAAAGCCATCTCCTACATTTTCGACGTAGCCTTAAAACAGTGTCGTTTTACACTCGCCCGTTTTACACTCTATGACAAGTAAACCAATATATTTTCGCGTGAAACGTGGCCGCGTTTAACGAGATAGTTACGAGGAACGTATTCATCGCGTTGTCCCCGTATTTCTGAAACAGAAGCAAAAGAAGCAATGAAGGAGGGAAGGGACATCACCCACCTGGGGGACGATATATCACGAGAAACGAGCGAGGATCGACTTCTTATTGGGTTGGCAACCGGCACCGTGAGGCTGGAGCAACATGACTAATTATTGCTGTCCCGCTTCGGTGCCGTCTAGTTTACCTTTGCACGCTTTCCCGCCTGTCATTTCTCACGCGTCGACGCGACCATCGGTCTGGTCTCGCGTACGATTCACGAGCCTTTTGCGAATACGGGAACCAATGTGTGGAGAGTCGACCAACCAGTGTCTTTACACTGTCTGACACGCCACATGGAGAAAGGTAGAAGGAACGATAATTGTTTCTATGCGGGTATTGAGAGATTTCTATGAACAGTGGATTAACACCTTTGAGTAATTAAGTACTGCCTTTTTTCAAGAGTTCATTGATATATGTTATAAACTAACTTTGGATGATCGAATTTATCAAAGGTTAATTGTTCGATTTCTACGTGTAAAATTAAATATATAGTTAAAAAAAAGTTTTTCGAAAAATGAAATTGATGATGGAATAGTAATCAATAGCACACAGCATTTTTCCCTTTGAAAAATTTTGAATATTTTCACAAAGTATATGAACATACGAATTTTAAAGAAAATTTGTCGAACATTCCTACACCAAATTTTGAATAAATATTCTATAAATAAAAAAATGGAAGAAACTTTATCCAAAATAGAAAATAAAAGATAGAAAAAAGAATTCTATTAATAATCTATCTATTTAAAGGCAATCACGTTCAATAACTTAGTAAAACACATGTGCATTCGATACTCCACAGTTCGACCATTTGCCATCAAAGGGGATGAAGAGTGCTTATTTATATGTATACTAGGGCGCTGATAATCGAGCCTTAATTAGCACGGCCAAATCAAGTGGGAGGGAAACAAGGATTTTTCTTTTGTGGCCACCTCGTGCTTTCACGATGTTTTTCGGTCTAACGATTTTCCCCATTTTTCTCGATAGTCCGTTTACACAGCCCGTTTCACTGAAGATACAAAAATATTAGAACACACCACATGGTAAAGAGGTAAAGATACTATAACAAAGCATACTTGCGACGTATAAAGAAGCTGTTTTCGCATCGTTAATACTGTCTCTCTTTCTTTTTCTCTGGTAATCAGTGGTCGACCAGTCTCGTCAACTTTGTTTGCCGATGACATCTGTGCGCTCTCGTAATTGCGTACCTGCTATTCATACGCGATGAGACTACATCTCGAATAAGGACTTCTATCAAGGACGCATGTATGTCGTCTATGCGCGTCGAACCTACGTTTATGCAAATAGCATTGCAGACCACGCGTCACGTAATCATCTCGACCGCGAGAAACGCAATTCTTTCGGGCTTGACGATTGATTGCCGAGATTGTTACCCTTCTTGCATCGTGTTGTCAGAGAGATTTAATTGAAACGTACGAATTGGAGTTGGAGGCACGAGAGATGTACAGCAACAAAGTATTTGTATCGATTCAAAAATATTAGTTCCAATGAAAATTTGTATGTGTATATATATGTGTAGGAAAAATTTGGAAATAATGAAAAAATATCTGAAAGAATGGAATAAATTCTGATTTTGGGGATATATTTTATAATAGAACATTAAAACAAATGAAGATCCAGCTCTGAATTTGATTTATTTTATAGTTTAATAGGATTGTAATAAATCCTTCTTATGATATGAATAATTATTTTAAATTTGGAGAATAAATTTATAGAGAAAGAGATATGTTAATATTAAATCTTAAGTCCAATTTAGATATAATTGAATTTTGTATCTTTAATTCCTTATTTTATATTTCCAAAAATAATTCAATGAATATATATGAATATATATGAATATATATAAAATATTTTAAAAACAATCAAAAATTATTCTATTAGAAATTAGATTTTCTATTAGAAAAGAAAATATTTTAAAAATAATCACTTTTTCATTTCATTGTTTTATTATACAATATATATATTT